AAGACATTCGAGAAGAAGAAGAGAAAATCATCAGATAGTAAAATTGAGGAGGTTCCATTTGACGTGGACGAGGAAAAAAGGTCAGTCAGTTCAGTGGGTGGATTAAATTTGGTTCGTCCTGTAACCAGAAAAGGAGTAAAGGTTGAGGCTGACAAGAAACCATCTGAGGGACAGGATAAGAAACCAACTCAACCAGTGGCAAATGTTGTTGAAAATAGTCATTGCAGCGTTCCCAATGTGCTATTACGAAAACCATCCATATATGACGATGTCGACAGTGAAATATCATCAAGGTTAAGCATTAGGCCAAACTTATCACTAAGGATGGGGAAGGAACCACAGAAGGAAAGATTTAGTGATATTACATTGCTGAAGAAGCCTGAACCGCTGAAAATGGTCCCAGATCTTGAGGGAGAAAATGGTCATTCAGGTGGTTCCAAAGCTGAAGATGGTCGTGAAACTGGTAATAGTAATTTGGATCCTGCACTTTTGAGAATGCCAGAGCAGTTGGAAACCAATTTTATCAGTGATCGAGCTGATGAATCTTCAGGAGGTTATGCCAATAGGTCAAATGATGTCAATTCCATAACTGATGGTAATTTAAACAACACCAACTCATATGCTGAAATTGCTGCGAAAGGCAATCTCAATCAAGCTCTAGAATCCAGGGTGACAAATTCTTTTGAAGAGAACGAGTCTGCAACAGGTAATCCAAGCACGTTGGTCAGAGTTCCACAGGTTCTGCATCGCAAATTAAAAGAGTAAAAAATAGTTATTGAATTTGGTGCTTCATCTTTTACTAATTTACTTTATTCTTTTCAAGGATTACAGCCAAGTGACTTATGGTCTTCTGGGAAAAGTTCTGATTCTAGTGAACCTTCTGCAACAAAATTAGCAGAATCTGACCCTGGGTTTTCTCTTGATGCTTCACTTCTTGGTAAACCAAAAAGGTACAGTTAGAGAATATTGTTAGTTGCAAATTTGTTCATTGAGTGACGCTTCTGCAATTTTAACAATCTGTTATCCTCTAGAATGGACACCTCTGTAGTGACAACATCTAAAATTAGTAAAGAGGAAGTGATGCCTGTGAATCCCGAAAGCAATGGCAATGCTTTAGATCTCGAGAACTTCCTTTCATCACCCATAAAGGTTGGACAATTTTTTTTCCCTTTTTCTGCTGCATTGGTTCTCTATCACAAACTTGTAGATTTGGATAGTATCTGAGTGTAAGATATACATGTAGGAGCGTGAAGAGAATGACTGGACAAAGGCTGAAGGTCTGGTCAATTTGGGAGGAAGGGTAGAGGTGGAAATCATTAGCTCTAGCACCAGAGGATTTACTGTAAGAACATAATTATGTTGGTCCAACTAGTTAACACATCATTTTGCAAATCTATTTGTATTTATATTTTTAGTTTATCCTGTTTTTGCAGGTATCTTTTGGTACCCTAATAGGATTTCTGCCTTATCGGAATCTTGCTGCCAAGTGGAAGTTCTTGGCTTTTGAGTCTTGGTTGAGAAGGAGAGGTTTAGATCCTTCCAAGTATAAGCAACACTTAGGTGTCATTGGAAGTTTTGAAACTGCTAGTGTGACTCCTTCTTCTGAGTCACAGTTAGACATAGATATAGATGACAAATTGTACAGTGAGATCTCTCCAGATACAAAGCTTGAAGATCTTTTAAGAATTTATGACCAACAAAAATCCAAATTTTTATCGTCCTTTGTTGGTCAGGTATCGATGATAACAAATTTCCAGTGTAGCTTGTTCATTTGGTAATTAGACTAACAACTTGAATTTCTTTCTTTACAGAAGATCAAAGTGACTGTGGTCTTGGCTGACAGAAAATCTAGGCGGCTAATATTTTCTACTAAGCCAAAGGAGAAGGAGGAATTGATCGAGAAAAAGAGGAATCTCATGGTAATGTTTGGTTTAAGTACATAAAATGAATGCTTTTTTCTTAGGTCTTGAATTTCATTTTTGCATGGATTCCAATATCCTTGGGTTAATTGGAAGCATCATAATCGGTGATTATTCTTTGAGCTTGTTCTTCTTCTAGATATAATTTCATCATTTTTGAGCTTCTAATTGTATCTTTGTTTGCAGGCTAGATTGAGTGTTGGGGACGTCGTTAAGTGCTGCATTAAGAAGATTACATATTTTGGCATCTTTGTTGAGGTATATATGATGTTTCACTGTGGGTCCTATGTATGCTTTGTGGTATCATGTTTAATTACCAAAGTTTTATATTTGTGATAAACTGACCGTGAATCTAGAAAAACCTTGTGAATAAATAAATTCATTGTTGTATACCTGCAACCAATTGGAACTTTCCAGAACAGGACAGGATTTCACTTATGAATTACCTGAATGTAGGTTGACGAAGTGCCTGCCCTGATTCACCAGACAGAAGTATCATGGGATGCCACTTTGGACCCAGCATCATATTTTAAGATTGGCCAGGTATCTATCTTTGACTGAAGTAAACACTACCACAAGTAATAGATGCCACAGATATTTTTATAGTGCTGTGTGCACTCGGAATTCACACGCTTTGGCATGTGTAAATTGCTGTCATACTTTTGGGATCATTTTTGGGTCAGATTATGGAAGCAAAAGTTCACCAGTTGGACTTTTCCCTGGAACGCATTTTCCTATCACTGAAGGAAATAACGGTAAATGATGTTAGGTTTGTCTTTGAGTCTAGAAGTCCTTTTTTTTTCATGAAGCTAATAGTTATTTTGATGTCTTTCGTCTCTCTGGCAGCCTGATCCACTGATAGAAGCCTTGGAGGCTGTTGTTGGTGGTCATGATTCTTTGGATGGCAAACTTGAAGCTGCTCAGGCAGATTCAGAGGTTTTTCCTTTACCATTTTGAGTAGGAGTAGGCTAAGCCTTTTCTTCAATGTTGAACTCACAAATGGTTATATCCTAATAATATTTTTTTTTAATTCCAAATGAAGTATGAAATTTGCAAAAACATGTTACAACAACCTTAAGAAGGTAGGAAAGTTAGAGAATTCACTGAGTTTGGGGAGAGTTTGGATATTAGATTCAGATAGTTACTGTAACACTCCGTAATTTTATATGCTTTGACCAAAATCAGTTGACACTTTGTTTGAATGTTGTACATAGGAGAAAATGAATATTTCAGGTTTCTTGGTCCAAAATTTGTAAGAACCTTGGGTTTTTCTTTTCTGATAAATTTATGCATGTCTATGTGGTATCAATACAGTAATTGTTAACGTCCAAAATATCGTTTGGACAGTGGGCAGAGGTGGAGTCTCTTATTAAAGAGTTGCAGCAGGGTGAGGGTGTTCAATCTGTGTCCAAGGGGCGTTACTTCTTGAGTCCTGGCTTGGCTCCAACTTTTCAGGTGCATGGAAGTTTTTAGTAATTGTGACCTGGTTTTTATGGAGAAAAAATGTCTTGTTCGGCTGAACTGCTCATTGATTGTAATTTCTGATGAAGTTATTTACGGATGTTTATGCTTCATATATGTCTTGGGGGAAATTTTATGTCATATTTGGAGTTTTATAACATAGTTATGCTAACTCACCGTTATACTTATCATAATTGCTTAAGAGGAAAACTTCTATGCCAACACTTGGTGCTCTGGATGAATTACATTCTCCAGATTCCTTGTGACCATTTTAGTTTACATTGCTTAAGTGACATAAGTTCTTCTCCCTCTCAAGTCGTAATTTCCCAAGATCTTCTAAAGGATAATCAAATCTTATTCTTCTACATTTCTGAGGTATAATACTGGTTACATTTCTCCTGTTCAGATGCTAACAAGTCATTGTTGCCCTAACCAATGTACTTCTATTCTATTACGTAGCATTAGTTTCCTTTTCCTCGGGATGATATTTGGTTCTTAGCGGTGACATTGAGACTGACAGGTTTACATGGCATCAACGTTTGAGAACCAATATAAGCTGCTTGCTCGATCAGGAAACAGGGCACAGGAGGTGAGTATTTGCAAGTACCTTATGCTACTTGTAAACTCTCTCTCTCTTTTCCTAAACCTGATGGCTGGTTAACCACAAACACAATCCATCCATTTTGGCAGGTGATAGTTGAGACGTCCTTGGGGAAAGAAGAGATGAAATCGATCATTCTGACCTGCACAAACAGAGTCCAGTGACAAATTTTCGGCCCTAAGAGTTCCTTCTATTGAGCTTGTCCTCATAGGCGCAATTTTTCCATGTCTCTGCTGCCTGTTTCGGCAGTTTTAGTTCTAACACAAGCTGTAATTAGTATCAGTAACATCATTAGAAAATGCAATAATATCTATTCTTCGTAGCAGCATTACATCTCCAATTATGTATTGTTGGATTGCCAAATTTTCCTCAAAAATTTTTACGTTTTCATAATATATTTTTTTTATAAAAACTTCAAAAAATAGCAATCTAATCAGACCCTCCAAGTATTTACATAGAAATTGGCCATAGCAGCTGGACTGAAGTTGATTAAGCGGCAATTTTTATTCGTTTGATTTCCCTTGTGGGGTTGATTTTGTCCTCACGACAAAAGTAAAGGACCATCCGGGAATGTCATTTTTAAGACAAGACTTGCATCATACAGGAAAAAGGCTTAGACGTGGCTTCCCTGCAATGGTTTTGCTAATAGTCTGATGGAGAAAAGAGACTGATAACTTCTTGCATTTAATTCCCCATAATTCTGTAGATTAGAAATAGCGTCGCAAATTGCCACGAATAGATGACTCTTGAAACTGAAAGGGAAACATCAATAAATATACAGCCAAGAAATACAAGCCACCCGTATGAGCAGTAGAGCACCAATTATTAATGGTGATACAATATCAGCGGTACTTGATTTGATTGCCCCAACGGATACTTGTATTCAAATGACAAATCGGTAATGCAGTTGTTAGATGGTTTTTTTGGACTCTTGTCGATTTGACCACAGTCAAGGACTCAAGCCGTGCACAAATTTGAGCAGTACGTAATCGGAAATTGGAAGGGTCCCAATCCAAGCTCCTAAGCTTGTACACGACTGCTTGCTTTCCGTTATCCTAACAATGTCCAGTCGTGTCAGATGGGACTCCAAATAATGAACAAAAGCCATGTGGGAATTTATCTGTTGACGTCCAAATTACCCTATCATCGGACCTTTACGCCCAAACTTGCCGTTCTTTCGTCGACATTATCCCAAGAAAATCCTTGTCCTTTTATCTTGCCTTAGCGTTTTTTCTTGCAGTGTAAGTGCCATTTCTCATAAGTTTCCATCTTCAAATCCCAGCCAGCTGCAGCTCTGACATAAAAGTCATAAAACTTTTAAAGATTACTCTCAACAACTCCCCCTCTTGTGGCATTTGAAGCTTCTCAGGAGACAAGCAAGCTTGGGGTTGTATTGTTAAGATGAATACCGCAACTAGTACCTTTGTCGTTAGATGGATCAACTTTCTCACTATGGTACATACCTTTTTTTTCCCACAAACCAAGTTGATATTTTTGTCTATTCTTTCTGTTTTTGATGTTACTCTTCTAAATGTGTTTAGACGTTTTGTTTATGGAACATGGGTTTTGTTTCACTTGTCGGATTTGTTGACTAATTTTGCTCTTATCTATTTGAAAAATTGGGGTTCTTTTGTTTCAATATGTTTGAATAAGCTCCCTTTGAATATTTACACTGGAAACCCTGAAAAAGGTTCGTTCTTGTCCTGACATCTGAAACAGTAAGATTTTTTGCTAATTAGTACTTCAGCGGTTAATAATTATTAGAAGAAAATGCCCTGCGTTGATATTAATCGGTGGTTAGTTCATTTTTCCTTTTTTTTTTTGTTGGTGTATTCTATGTACTATGAAGGTTAAAAAAAAGTTCGAAAATTGAATAAGGTAGTACATTTTGTATTTATTTTTTTGATTTTTTAGGTGGTAAAAGAGTTATGTTAACCGTATAGCTTCATGGAGCAGCTATTAGCTGTTTCTGTAATAGGATTTGGTGTGTGGATGAGCACTCACCATGACAGCTGCCGAAAGTCCCTTACCCTCCCTGTTATAGGCCTTGGTGCAATAATTCTTGTAATGTAAGCTTATTCACTTTGAAATTCTTTACATAATTTCTGTGCTGTTTCTTTGGGAATTATTTTTCTTATTGGTACAAACCTGGGTTTCTAATGCTTTCAGATCAATAATTGGATTTTTGGGGGCGCTGAAGAACAACTCAATCTTATTGTGGATTGTATCCTGTTGAGCAGCAATTCTCATACGCGTTCAATTATGTTTTTTTGTCCTTTCTACGCTTAAACTTATGCAGTTTATGTGGTTACCTTGACATTTACCTGATAGTATCTGATCTTGCTTTGCCTCATTTTGGTGGGAATATTGGTCTTTACAGTCTTTGCGTAAGTACTAAAACTAAGTTCTGTTCTTTACATCATTTTGAATAGATGCTTCTTAATGTAAAATGAAGTGATTTATGATTTAGAAGATGTTGTGATGCTGCTTGACCTTTATGTCTAGTAAAATCTTCTGTATCTGCTGCCATTTGTTGGTATTTTTGCGGAAGGGGTTCTGCGTTAGGCTGGAAATTTCCCATCTGTAACAGATTCCTTAGTTCGGAAAATATACTTGGCAGTGCTAGTGTGAGCCTCGGAAGTGGTGTATTGAAGGATAGTAGTAGTGATTTTACAGTTTTGGCATAGCTGAAGAGGTCAAGTTATTGCTGTTTGTATCCTTAATAGGATAGAATGGTGTTAGCATGAGTGTGCATGGTGCTCGTTTGGATTCCTAGTCTGATCTAATTCATGATGAAGAATGGAATTTGATCCTGCTTAAACTGACCTTTGGCTGAGGCTGTAATTAAGTTCACTCAAACATCTGATTGGACTATGTTTCCACTTGTTGTAAGATTTTTTTTTTCCACACATCATCTATATCTTGATTCGCCTCTCATCAAATTTGGATTAGAGAATGATAGATAGTGTGTGGTGCATTCTCGAAAGACTACCTAATATTCAAACTTCAACTTATGGTAACTGGGAAGATAGAGGGAAATTATGTTTTGAGTTGGATCTGTCAGCATGCATTGGTAAAACCTTATTTCATTTTTAGAGTGAACGAGGTGTCAATCTTTGCCATTCCTGAGAATGCCTTTTGCTATATGCCCGCTGAAGCAATTAGTACAACCAAAAATGATCATGAGTTTAATTCAGCGTAGGGTGGTTTTGTATCCTGTAAATGGGGAGGGTGAGAAATCATACCATAGACATAAAAGGTATGTATCAATTATCGACAGTGCGCAGTGTGGAGTTGAAGTCAAGAAAGGAGAACAATCTAAACCCGTAACTTTTTTTTTTTTGTTTTTTGGTGATTGATCGAGAGCATATCTGTTGATTCATTCAACAGAAGCCCGATAAGTGGTGGTTTGCCTTGATTTTTCCTTTGTTAAGAATCAAATTTTTTAACCCCTCCTGGTGAATTGCGACAATACGTTCTACACAGTGGACATAGTTTGTTCTTAGTTTGTTAGACTTACATGCTAGTACTGATAAAGATATATGATACACAACTTAAATGCGCTGTCTTTGTTTGTGCTGCTTTTGGTAGGTTCATTGTGACAAATAGTGGATCTGGTCATCAAGTGTCTGGTTTGAGGTGAGATTACCTGTCATTCATCTATTTTTGTGCTTATTAGTCTTCACGTTTTATTGTATGATATTGTTGTTTCCCCCTCTCTCAACCCCCCCCCCCTCCCCCAACTAAAACGCCCATCCACAACTCCGTAGAGGCTTCTTAGGCAGAACATTACTCGAGGGAGGAATGTTTTAGGTGACATTGCAATAACCTCTTGCCACATTCTTAAATCTCTCTTTGTACTGGTATCAACTGAAGCAGTAATCTTTCCATTTCATCAGGTACAAGGAATATCAACTTCAAGATTGCAGTTCCTGGTTTTTGAAACAGGCTAGTGCGCTTTTAGTATTTCATAGATTTAAAAGATGGAAATGGAAAGCTTTATCTTGTAATGAGAAGTACAAAGGAGAAGTTTGATCTCTTTCATCTCTAATCTTTATTGGATCTGATACTTCAGCTCAATAATACACACAACTGGGAACGCTTGAAGAGTTGTCTTGTGAAATCTGATGACTGCAATAACTTGGCAAGAGAATACAAGGTGTACACTCAGAAGCCACAGTTCTGATTTTTTTTTTTTTTTCCGGAATCTTACTCATGCTTTAGCTTGTGTGCTTCAGACTTTGAAACAATACAAATCAGCGAGACTCACTCCAATAGAAGCTGGTTGCTGTCGTCCACCATCTGAGTATGTGCTTAACATAACATTTCCGTATATAATATCTCTTCAGTGTAGTTCCTCTAAATTGCAGTACTCTTACAACTTATGTACAGCTTTGGAGTATCGGACTGCTATTGTTGGCCATGGATTTATTGCAGAATGTGATTTTCTGTGTTCAGCAATTCCATGATGACATTCCGTATTTATTACTTATAGGTGTGGATATCCTGCCGTAAATGCTTCATACTATGACTTGAGCTTTCGACCAATCAGTTCAAACAAGGACTGCGAACTTTACAAAAACTCAAGGGGCGTCAAATGCTACAATTGTGATTCTTGCAAGTAAGGCTGTATTTGCACGTCACTTTGCTTATTAACAGTCTTAGTATTTCCTTTCCGACTCTGCTGCATCGCAGTTCATTTAGAAGTCTTGAGTATTTCCTTTCAAAATGTTTCAGAGCCGGAGTTGCACAATACATGAAGATAGAATGGAGGGCAGTTGCTATCTTTAATGTATTTCTTTTCGTTGTCTTGGTAAGACCAAAGCTCTCATCTGTGTTGCTGCAGTTCAGAAATTGAGTTTTAGTGGGTCATTAAAATTTTCCATTGGGCCCTTCTTATCAATCTTCTAAGATGAAGAACTCGTGGCAGAATTCCTCATTCTCCAATACTCCTAATGGAGTGTGATTTTTTCTGTAACTGTAGCATAATTCTGATTCTTTGTGTTTTGTTGTCGCCAGTCAATAATCTACTTGGTAGGATGCTGTGCAAGACGAAATGCTGCAAAGAGTCCTGAGAAAGTGTGAAAGAAATGCTCCAAACGTCGCGAGCGTGGAACTGCCATTCCCAGCTGCAAATTGTCGTCGAGAAGGAAATCATCTATTCATGCCTTCAATTCACAATCCCTTGCTTGTAAATGAGAGGGTCCTAGACGAACAGTGAGACAGCAGGAACATATACAGAATGCTGACTTTGAAGCTTAGGGGTGAAGATAATGGAAGAAACATTCACCAATTTGTAAAGTTGCTTTCTCAGATTACAAGATGGTTTTTTATGGGACTGACTTTTGATGCTTCGCGTGTCCAGTATCATCCCCTTGACATGTTTTTTAAGTTTGCACTCTGGAATCGCCAATACCAATATGAGCTGCTATTTGTAAATAGGCACAGGCCTTATCCATTGGTATAATAGCTGCTATTTGTAATTTTTATTCAAGTTCATCACATTCCACAAACCACCGTCTAATCTAATATGATTGTGTGTAATTAATTTCTAAGGCCATAAAGATGTATATATTCTAGCCAGGTACAAAAATTTCTTGCCTTGTCAGGGCATTGACAGAGATGAATGGGTTTAACTAGAATAATATAGGCATGTATTTGCAAGAATGGGACGATTAAGAGTTCATAGTCTTGTTAAGGAACAAAAAAAAAATGTTGTTGCAAAAATCTCTTGTCTTCGTCAGGCATTGGCAAATTAAGACGACTGTGAGTTCGTAAATGCTACGCTAGAGCTGAGCCTGAGCCCATTCTTTTTTTTCTTTTTTTTTTTTAAAGAATAAAAATTAAATAGATTTATGAGGGAGAATAATTTTTTTTTTATGAGGGAGAATAATCTTTTCCTTTCATCTTTTCTGACCCAGCAAGGATTCAAGCCATTTACACCATAACTCAAAGCATATTGATCAGAATAGATTATACTCAACTAATCAAAAAGCCATTCTAATGGCATCTTCAAAATTGATTATATTTGGAAATAAAAGATAAAAAAAAAGACATATGAATTCTTCATCATCGTCAATCGAGAAACGGGGAATGAGAATAATCCCCAATCACTTTATCATCTTTCAACACATTTGAATAAATAGGCAAACTATCATTAATGGGTTCCTATAGAAGGCGTATTTTTTAGGACATAGAACTCCTGCAGAAAATAACTATGGTAACATTTAATTACTGCATATCAATTATTCATAATCTCAAAGTAGTGAATGCCTTCGTACAGAGCATGCAACGTAGAAGATCATTTACGTGCATGCATGGATAGCACTCTGCAGTCGTGCCTGCAGATGCACAAGACTCTTTGCAATTCCGGGGGCTTTTTTGCAGACTGCCTGGGGATGAAGGTTACCGAAGTAGCTGGTGCACAATGTGCGACAACACAGATCCAGCATCGCATGTTGAGTTCCAAATACCTACACCTTCTGTGCATCTTTTAGGCGGGATGATTGGGGTTGATCCTTGACCCATCACCATGTAGTTATTGCCACCTTGCATGCAGTAACTAATAACATCATCAGTATTTATCACCACATGAAATTATTATGGTACAAAAAATGCATGTAAGCCAGCTTTTCAATGATGCATATACTATCAGTATTAGACAAGAAAAAATGGGCATGGAAAAAAAAATCTAAAAAATTAAGCTCGAAATATTTAATCATCACTAGGCCCAAAACCATCCTTTCTAAAGAGTTCTTCCATTTTTTGCAAAAAAAAAAAAAAAATGGGGAGAATTTGTTTTCTAAAGAGTACTTCCATTGTTCTAATTAATATTCACTTCAATTACTTGTTTAGTTAATTTTTCTAAAAAAAATTCCTGTATTTAATCGAAATATCAAAATTCAATATAGCTATTATTTCAGTTAAATTATTTTTTAAAATACATTAGCATCCTAGATTCAACTGAACAAAAAATCATGCCTCTTCATTAAATTGTTACTCTGTGTGAATCCGCCCCTGATCCCTTTACCTTTTCATTTTCAAGAAAAATGGTTTCACGTTTGTATTCAATGAGACGATGACATCACATTATTAAACTAATTAAAGGATAGATTCTACCTTTTCATATCTTACAATTTTAAACTAATTAAATCATAGATTCTATTTCTTTTTTGAATGAAAGGATATAAGGGCAAAATTGTCAAATTAAACTTATTAAGCATTCATCTATAAATATTTATCAAATAGTATAAATAGGTTTAGCATTAAAATTCAGACATTCATATATTTTTTCAGTGCTTAAAATTCAGCAAATTAATTGTTTCAGTATTCAGATTTTAGAATTCAGAGTTCAGAGTTCAGATTCAATTTTATCAAATGGAACCTAAGTGCATAACTTCTTAAATTACAATTTTTTTTAAGCAATAAACTTATAGTGAGAGGTTAGCCAGACCCAAATTTTGACACATTGATCATAACACAAGCGAATATTTACCGGAAAGGAAGTTCCTGCAAGCAAGTTCTTACAGGCTAACTACAGGATTACCAGTATACCCAAGTTCCATGCATCGAGCAGCTGAAGAAGACAACTTTCTTGGATACAACCATAACTTTCCTTAATACTACTGATGAAGTGCCACTGTTTGCTCTTCTATTGCACAAGAGCCTTTCCCATGCTGGATGGACTTTACTAAGTTTTTTTTTTTTTCTTAAATTACAATTGGGCTGTCTAATGGGTCTCTACAGGGCATTCGTTAAAATATATTTCAGGTGTTAAAATATATTTAAGTATAAAATTTGCTAATTACGTCAAGAGTTTATCTAAACTGCAGATTTGCTAAACTTGTTAAAAGAGATTTCAAATAAAATAAATAAATCAATTTATAAAGACAATATTGAAGTAACAAAGATGACAAATGGTAATTGAGTCAATTTCACTAATGAAAACGTCATAGTGGAGTTTTAATTTTATTGTAGTCATTTTTTCTAAGATTAAAAGAAAAGCATCATGTTAGTAGAAAAAAGACCCACACCTCTCCATACTAAATCCACTTTCTATACGTTCATTAGACAACAATAGCCTTACCTTTTAAGTTTTAAATTTATTTGATGCTTTATATAGTTATAAGAAGCATGTTATTATTTTACAAGAAACACATATTTACAGAGAGTATCTTCAAGTATGTTTACAAGTGCATAAGAATATTAATTATAATTTAAAATTCAATTTTGCAATAAAAAAATTTATGTTACCAATAATAATGATGTAAATAGCAATAATAATATCTAATACTCCAGTATAGGCCTCTCCCAAAAACAAACAAAGATGACAGAAATTTTACATCAACCAATCAAAAGATGATTGATTAGAAGAAACTAGGGATGGCAACAGGGGCGGGTGCCCGCGGGCAACCGCTCTGCGGGGGACTCTCGGGGCCGGGGGGGGTATACCCGCCCCGCCACCCGCAAAAAAAAAAAAATTATATATATAAATATATATAGATATAAATATATATAATATGTAATTTAATTAGTTATACATTTATGACAATGATATTATTAGTTAGATGTATTATATAATATATATTAGTGTATGTAATATAATTGATATTATCAATTATGCGAATAATTAGACATGTCTACTAATAGAATTTATTAATTAGTTATACTAAATTTACTAATACATTTATACTAAATTTTTAATTACACTTAATAGAATAATATTTTTTCTCAAAAAAAAAGCACAAACACAATAATGAATTAGTGATTGTATTTGTACCAAAAGTGAAAACTTAACTATTTTAATTGTATTTATTTCATCATGTTGGATTGTATTCAAATAACTTTTGTTTAATTGTTTTTATAAGTTTCAATTATAAAATTATAATGAATAATAACTTGATGATGTGTTGATATTTTAATACTTGATTATTTATTAAAATTTAACTATAATAAAATTTTATTAACCTCGAAAAAAAAAAATTATTAATCCTACGGGGGAAGAGGGATGGGACGGGGCGGGGCGGAGATAGTGGGAGGCGGGGGACAGGGCGAGGGACGAGGGGAATTAATAGGCAACGGCCCCACCTCCCCCGCCTCAACCTCGTCCCGTTGCCATCCCTAGAAGAAACAGCACGCACCCCCGCTGTAACGTGCACCCGGACTTGAACAAACCTGAGGACAGTGGAGTACAGTGCATGTACCCGCCAGTTTCCCGATATGCGCTCTCTCCTAATCTCCAGGAGCTAAATCCTTCCCACTGTGGCTCTTCCCAGATCAATCCTAGCCGTCCAAAAGCGCGGGATAGACATCTTGCCTATTTGCTCCCCCTATTGTCTTACCTACACATGGCACAAATGAGCCCACGCCTGGATCGTACAATATATATTATCCAAAAACCCATCCAACCCATCAATATCAAAAGCTGAGCATTCCCACAGAAGACTCAATTGCAACTATATAACCAAAAGACCTCTAAAATTAACACCCCCCCCCCCAAAAACACCCCAAAAAAAAAAAGTTTCTTAAAAGATCAATTTCAGAATTCCAGTCTCTTTCGCTTAAAATGAAATAATTTGGTGCATCACATATCTCAATTTTAGTACTTTGGTCACATATCAATTGACCTTGATGAATGTGTACAACAAACACATTCTTCTTTTTGGGAGACAATTAGGTTCAATTGGCATTTGATCATTTATCAAATCACATAATTTTGTTAAAAAATCTAAATAGTGGGTTAAAGTAAAATATATTCAGAACTAAAGAAAAACATTTTGAAGTTAATTTTGTCTTTCATAAGTCAAACTTATTATAAGAACTTCTCTAGCTTTTATCCATGAATTATTTACTAATTTGTATCGGTACAAGCAGATGGAAAGATGCGTCAAATAAGTGCATCGAATTAGGATGTCAGAATGCTATATTATTTGCAAAAATTTATTCGTTTGTATCATTTATATATTTTTAAATCATATTTTATGACATATATACCATAGCAAAAGTGTACTACGGTATTTTTTTTTTTTGTAAAAAATTATCCAAAATAGTCTAATATCCAAACACACTCGAAATTTGGAAGGGATTAAGATGGTTCGCTTCATTGTAAAGGGCGAGCAAAAGAATTCCCTAAGAACATGAGGGACCATTTTGACAATTTTAGCCCAATTGGATAATCATAAAAATTCTCTTCACGTCTCAAAATTGTAAAGCCGATACACTTTTTCAAGAAATTATTCACTTCATCTTCTTCTTCCCTTGGACCTTTTCTGCTTTTCTTCTCGACTTCTTCGGCAAAAATCCATGGCGCCCAGGAAAAAGACAACTGTGGAGCCCTCGACAAGGGTGACTCGCAGTTCAACTAGACAAGCAGAACCTATCCCAGAAACCCCCAAAAAGAGGGCCAAGACAATTCCAGAAAACCCCAAGAAGAAGAAGGCTAAACTTGTCCCATCCAAGCCAAAACAAGAAGCAGAGAAGGCAGAAGAAACCAAGGGCGACGTTGTTGATGGCTCCAAGAAGACGATAATAGTGGAGCATTGCAAGCAGTGTAACT